GGGCGGGGATTGAACTCATGCTGAAGTGGCTTTAGCTTCTTAGTGCTGTGCTCTAACCCGCTGCGCCACCAGGGAGGGCCTTGTACCCTAGTTCTTTTATGCATAAATAAGTTTTTTAATTGTAAAAAAAAATCTGAACAAAAAACCAGATATCTTAGCTTCAAAGTAACTTGCCTGATGTCCCATAGTTGTGAACACAAAGTTGAGAAGCTCACAAAGCAAAGTTGTGAAGTTCAGCAAATCCAAGTTTTGTCTTCAGAAGCAGCACTGTGACTCTGGTGTCTGCTGCTGTCACAGCCCCCGTGTGCTGGTCTCATCACACCCAACTAAGCAGATGACCCACCTCAAGCCTTTCCCTCATCTCTCAAACTGTTGCCCTCTCAAAATACTGGCTTATCCACTCTTTCCAGAGTTCACTCGAGCTCTCAGTTCGCTTGTTTTGGAGCGTGTTCTGGCTCAGGGTACGTCTGTGTACACCTGCACTGTCCTTTACAGTGGCCACTATGTGCTGCAAATACAACTAGTTTGAATTGAAATTTTCCATCAGTAGAAAATGTGCATTGACTTCAAAGCCTTGGGGGAAAGAAAGAATATGAAATAGATCAATAATCATTTCATATTGATTATGGTGAAATATTATTTGGGATGTATTCGTTCAGATGAAATTTATTATTAAATCAATTTCACCTGTTCCTTTTCCCCTTCTTCGCTGTGGCTACACGAACATGTGTGATGACATACGCGGCCAGTGTGGCACATCCTCCTTGTCCTGCCATGTCACTCCAGAGCGCTCTCCCTTTTCCTGTCTCCTTCTTTCTCTAGAGCTGCCCTGCCCAGTAAATACAACAGCCATCGGCTACATGTAGATCTTTAAATTGAAATTGAACATTAAAGCATCAAACTCAGTTCTTCAGTTACCTTGGCCACTATGGTTAGTGGCTGCCAAAGCATACAATGCAGGTGTAGGTCATGTTCATCATTGCAGGGATGAACAGATACAGCTTGGACATCTTATGGCAAAACCACAGAGGTCAGGCATGCATGCCCACGCTGGGGCCATGTGCCAATCACGCCTAACTCCCATCAGCCTTCCAGCTCCCAGGCCCATTTCCCACCTTTGCTAGGCTTGTTTAACACACCTTATCTCTTCCTTCCCTCAAGGCCCATGCGTGTTTATCTCCCTCTGAACACTCTCCCTCCCACCTCCTCTGCATGCCTGCTATCTACCACCGAGCACTGTCCGAAGTAGGTTCTCAGTAAATAGTTGGGCACCAGATGGCATGGCAGTAGTTAGTAAGTGGCTGGAAACGGACCTGTGGCTGAAGCTATAATGCCTGGGATCAGAGTGATGAGAGAGAAGGTACCCATGAAAGAAGGAAGAGGAATTTGTAGAGACAAGAAAGGAAGAAAGTGGAGTAACAGCATTGACCCTGGATCTCAATGATGCCCCACCTTGTGCCTCCCCCTAAACCCCTCATGAGCAGTGACAAAGTGATCACAGGGAAACCCTGAGTCTTAAGCAACAGCTTTCGAAGTGCAAAAGAAACCCAAAATATTATTGTGTGGTAAATAAACATGCAAGGCCCATCCATGAGAGGTTGAGATGGCATGGAAATGTAGGGTCTGCTGAGGAGAAAAATGAGAAGCGTGCGCTCCCCAGCCCAGCTGGTCTGAGTGAGCTTTTATGAGGACCACGTGGCCCAGCGCCCTTGTTGAGCTCGCAGCAGACTGGCACATTAGTTTTAAGGCTCCCTCTCGAATAGGAACATCATAACGCTTTTTAATTGGGGCTGATAAAAACGTAGCATTACTTGTAGGTTCCTGAGAGAAGTGAGTTGTGAAATTGGGTTTTCATTAAACCTAATGATGGAAAATTAAGTATAGTGCGTCTGGTGAAATGGGGTGTGATAAAAGGCATCACTTCTGCATTATCGGAGGTTAATAAGGGAATAGGTGAGGTAACAGGCATGGGGGGAAATGAGTCCAACTAGTTGAATTAATAAACCTTGAAAGTCCCTTGGTTCCGAGTCTTCATAGCATCATTAGCATCAACAATGACATTTTTACAAATGTTCCAGCCATACGAGTTGTTCATCTCCAGACGCATTTGTTTTCTACTCCAGTGTTGGTTTTGCTGACACCAAGTTTACAGTCTGTCTAGCAGTGTGTTGCGGGGAAATATCCATATTGGCAGCTATTTGGCTCTGAAAACATGTGGGAGCTCATAGAAGTGGCCAGGTGCCGGTCCTAAGAAGCCTGTCTTTGCCAGGCAGCTGCTCTGCAAGCAGCCTGTGACCCTCATCCTTTCTGGGGCTTCTGAAGACACCTGTCCCCATGTGAGGTGGGGGACTAGGTGGGGCCACCCCCCAAAACCAGCACACAATCACAGGAGCCCTGCTCACAGAGGGGTGCCTCATCCCCATGGCAAGCGGGGACCTGCAAGAAATAGTGAGACTCCATCAAGAAAGGGGCTCCTCTTGCCGCCTTCTCGCCTCCCTCATGTTCACCTTCACTCTCCTCAGCCACTTTGTCCTTGCTGAGAAGCGCTGCCTTCTCCAGCCTCTGTTCTCCACAGATGGTGCCTCTTGCCTGTTTCTCTGCTACACCACGGAGCCCTGAGGGTGGATTCTGGGTGACTCTGTACCTATCAGAGCCATGGGATACTCAGGCTCTTTCTCACCTCCCCACCACTAGTCTCGATGCTGCACCGGTGGCCTTGCTTTGCTCCCAGGGTTCATTACCACATGAGATAACACGTTAGTGAGAAAGGCACTAGGGAAGAGGAGCGCACGGGCCCCCACACTCTGATTGTGGACGCCCTGCCCAAGGAGCATGAGCCTGGGGCAAGGCACCTAAAAGTGCAGACGCCCTGGCAGAGAGGTCGGGAGAACACAGGGTGGGCGCATATATAAAGATGGCCATCTCTGCCTCCATGGGAGCTCTTAGGGAGGACAGCAGTAGGGGACAGAAGCCAGAGGGAGCAGAGATAGGGGCCGGGGGCGGGGCTGGAAGCCTCAGTGGCTGCCTCCCTACCTCCCTGCCCACTGGTCCACTTCTGTGCCTGGTCCCCAGATCTGGCATTAAAGACACGTTAGAGATACAGAAGCCTCTAGAATTCTCTATCCATCCACCAGGATCAACCGTGAACCTGCCTGGCCTGGCAGGTGGCACTGCATGCTCGCCAGAGACCCTACACAGACAGCCCCAGACACAAGGGGTGGTGGAGAAGACAAGTAGCCCCACGCTTGCAAGGGTCGCTTTCAGCAATGCTGCTGACAACGTGTTACCTGTAACCTAAAGTCCCAAGAGGGAAAATGAGCTGTATTTTCCATTAAGTGCAGCCAGAAAGGTGGTGCTGCCATCTGGCCCAGGCCTGCCTGACTTGTGCATAAGCCTGTGTGCCCCCGATCTTTCTATCAGTGAGCCTTTCCTACTAGGGACAGTTTTTCTCATGCGGTCACATAGGAGGGAGTCCCCTTCACACACAGTCAGTGTCTGATGGATTGTTGTGACAGGACAGGCAAGCAAGCTGCAGGAAACGTGGTTTTGAACGACAAGCTGCAGAAGAGCAGGAATATGTGCTGTGCATCCCAGGGATGAGGTTGGCATGGGCCCAGCGGGGCCGAGGGCGCGCCTTCCAGTGCCCGAGGATGTCTGAGAGAGACAGATTGGATCTGCCAGCTCTCATCTTGTACTTGCTGTGGTGCTAGGGTCCAAGGAGGACACTGGCCATGTCTTTGGGAACAGATGGGACAACCGAGACCAGACAGTTCTGTCTCTGAAAGTCTGACAGTGTATGTCTGGCAGGGAGGTGTTTGGGCCAGAAATGGATTTAGGGGTCCAAGGAACAGCCTCAGCATGCACCAGTTTCTGGGGCGGCCAAACTAGCAGAAGACGATGAAGGGAACTCAGCAGGTGCCAAGGTTCCTACAGAGAGGAGTGTAAATCTCACATCAGGGAGAGGTTCCATGAGGGTGAGACGCAGGCCCCAGGCCGAAGTAGGTAGCAGCAGGACGGAAGGGGCTATTCCAGCTTCACTACCTGCTGGTGCATTCAGCAATGCTCCTGGCCAGGAGCTAAGTGGTGCGGAAGCTGGCAGCAAGCAAGAGGCTGTCACTGAGGCAGAGCCCATCGGAGGAGCGAGCAGCTGGCAGGGTCCCTGCTATTTGCTGGGGTCCCAAAGGAGCCCCTCGTATAGAACCCAAAAATCTAGAAGAGAACCAGGTATGCAGATGGTCCACAAATAGGCCTGTGCCCTGATCCCCACAAGCGCCAGGGGTATGTGGAGATGACACTCTCTGGACCAGAGGGTGCCCCGAGGAACAGCCTGTCTGGCTTCTTCTGGCTCTGGGATTGACCTGGCAAGGCTGCCGCAGGCAGGAGTGATACCCAGCCAGCAACTCTGCCTTTGCTCCAGCAGCATGACCCCTTGAAAGAAGTGACCATGACCCCTTGAAAAAGAAGTGAACTGAGGGTCAATATAACCCCTTAAAAGAACTGACCGATGGCCCTCCCTGGTGGCGCAGCAGGTTAAAGCACAGCACTGAGAATCTAGGGCCTCTTCCGCATGAGTTCGATTCCCGCCTGCCCCAGAGGTGACCACATGGCGTGGCAGACCTCTCCTGACCCGCCCGCTGCTCCCCTCAGCAGTGTACTTCCTCGATCTGCCTGTTCTGCTCCCCACTCTGTCTCTGGTGAAGCCTCTCGCCGCCCCAAGCCTCTGGCCTGTACCCCAGTTCTGTATGCACAAATAAATAAATCTTTAAAAAAAAAAAGTGACCAAAGGGTCATTGTGTTCATGGCTGGGTGTGTTGTTTTAATTTTTGGATCTGCCACCACTCATTGCCAGGGAAGCAGGCGAGTCTCGTCTCTCTGCAGGTCCCTCGCCAGATGCGTCCTACGTTAGTGCCCTCCATCCTCCTTGGGCCAAGCTGGGAAAGGTGTAGGGACAGGGGACAAATCTCCCGTCGGTGATGATCTGTTCTGCCTCCTCTTTGAAGCAGATGGCAGCCGTGGGGAGCTGTCCCAGCCCACCCTCACCATCCAGACACACCCCTACCGGGCCTGCGACCCCGTGGAGATGAGCTACCCCCGGGACCAGTTCCAGCCCGCTATCCGGGTGGCGGACCTGCTGCAGCACATCACGCAGATGAAGAGAGGCCAGGGCTATGGGTTCAAGGAGGAGTATGAGGTAAGAGATGAGCCCATGGGCAAATGTCCCATTGAGTTCAAAGGCCGTGTGGGTCCTCATGCCTCACGTCTCAAGGCGTGGGCCTGGGCCAGCACTACAGAGCAGCAGCTCAGACTTCCTGAATCTCTTTGGACCCACATTGTCCTTCAGGGGGAGCATAGAATGGTTCAAGCCCCCTCCCCACATGTGGTAGAAAGCCAACAGTTCTCCTGGGACGAGCTCAGGGAGACTCGCTTCCTCCTGGCCACCTCGAGCTCATTACCACGCTTCATTTGTGCCCTCCGCCCAAGCCACCGCCTGGCCTCCAGGGCCAGCTCTCCTCGCACTCTGCCTGCTCCACAGCACCTCAGTGGCCACCCCTTTGCATTCTCCCACAGCCCTGTGAACACAGGATGTGTGAATAGTGAGGCCCCTGCGCTTTGCGGGGGAACAGGCAAAGAGCCAGCACTGCCTGGGCGCCCCCATCCGCTTCAGATTCTGGCCCTAGCAGGTCTCAGTCGCTTCCTCTCCCAAAGGTTCTTTTCAGCGACCTCAAAACTCCCTTTATTTTCTTTTTCCCAGCAGTCAAGGAAAGAACTCCCACACTCCCCTTATTTTATTATGCAGCACACTTTAACTGTCTTTGTCTCACTCCTTTTGTTTCAGAGCTTAGGCCTCACCTTTTACAAACAAAAAGTGAAATAAAACAAAAAGGTAAACTCAGGAAGATGTTCCCTGAACCCATGAGCCCCTCACCGCCCCCCCCAAGAGGAACCAGGCAGCCCCCCTCAAGCAGGTGAACACAGCTGCAGCGCTGTGAAAATAGGCATTTCTTTCCCCACTTTTCCTTTCCTCTTTCCGTCTCATTCTTCCTTTCCAAAATGTCTTCCAGCATCTACTCTGTGCCAGGCTCCAAGTTATATGCACTGTATTTTGTGGGTCCCCACACCCCAAACAGCATGAGCCCCAAATATGATGGGCTGGGCTTCACTGTGTGCAGTGAAAACATACTGACTCAGACACTACACATTTGGGATTCTTGATCATGCAGACTAAGTTTATCTCTTAGACTATATTCTGAAAAAGAGCTTTCAAAGCAGTATTTCAGAAGCTGGTGAGATCATGAAATCCTGCTAAACTGGGATCCAGACAACTGGGTTCCAATACAACAAGCAGTGTGAGCTCAGGATATCATTTTGCTACCTGAGTTTTTAAATTATTAGTTGAATGAAGCACTTGGATAAGGTGATTTCTAAGAGCTTGTCTGGTCCTAAAACTTTATGAGGGCATAAAGCATGGTGACAAGGGGCACGTTTGGCACATTTATGAGAACAAAAACATTTATGTCAATGGCTATAAGTAATTACCAACTCAGAGAACTAGCATTTTGTTTCTAATGTGATCTAAGTGCAATAGCGTTCTTCACATGTCCAACCTACGACTTTTAAAGGAGATTGAGATGAGAGATGGAGGTGGGCTCCTCCCTCCCATCCCTAGACCTTATCTCGTAGGGGGTTGGTTGGATGGTCCCACCCCTGAAAGTATGGGAGTACTTATGCACACCAAGAAATCTCTATGATGAAGGAATGTAGAAGAGAGTACATTGATGGTGAAGACTTGCTCAGCATCATGATGGCTTAACAAGTCATAATGGTTCATTGGTTTTTAGAGTTTAAAATAGAATTAAGAGAGAGCTGTGATTCACCAGAAAAGAGAGTACGTAAACAAAATCAAAGAAGCTCCATTCTAAAACTTTGTAGTCTAGAATTTGAACACAGAAATACAAAGATGTTTGACTATTTTGATGTATTTCCTTCCAGAATGTTATCTGTCCTAGAACACATCCATTTGTGTTTTTTTGCATTTTGCAAACTTTCTAATGTGGAAACCAACTGCTTTGTCAATGAGAGAAAACAATACATGGCATTCTATCATTTGAACATCAACTAGAAATAACTCTAATTAAAGTAGTCTTGCCCTCAATTAGTTCAAATTATATTAATCAGCTGGAATGTTTAGCTTCTAGTTACCAGCATTTCCTGATTAACTGGAGGTTAATTGGAAAACATCATTTAATGAAAGTCTTTTCACAATGTGCTAGTCCCCTTTCCCAGACTATAACTGGATATTGCTATGATTGTCAAGGCTCTTGTGATGTCTGGACTTTACATACTGAACATAGGAATCACAAATCTGACTCAAGACTGTGTCCTTCTCTCCAGACAACACACTATGTGCAATGTTGACTATTAGTCCTGTTCAGTTGCCCAGTTCCAGTTACAAATGAGTGAGTTTGACAAATTGACATATAAGGGACCTCTCAGCTATAGTAAGCTGTGTCTTTGAAGATTCAGTTCCATGGTGCAATCATTTAAAAACTTGTTCAGTAAAATATGCTGAGTATTTACTATTCCCAAGCATCATTCTAGATATTTGGGATCCAACAGTGAATAAAATAGACAAAGATTGACTCCCTTGGGAAGTTTGTTTCCTGGAAAGGCAAACAAGAAATAAAAGTGACTTAAAAGTTCTTTTATGATAACTTAATGTAATATGTTATGGTAAATAATGTTCTGTGTTAGACAGTGAAAAATATTGTTTGCTGCTTCACAAACTGCCCCACATCTTAGGGACAGGAAGCAACAATGGTGTATGCTGATTGTGAGGGTCAGGAATGTGAACAGGACACAACAGAAACTGTCTGACTGCTCCATGATGTCTGGAGCCTGGACTTGGGAGGCGTTAAGGTTGGGGCTGACATAATCTGGCCCCTTTCCCCACCCCAGGAATTATACCAGACTCTAGGAACTGAGCAGATGAGATGACTACACCCTTGCCTTCCGGGAAATGGGAGAGCCTTTTCTTAGAAATAGGCACCTGAGCGGGTCATTTCATTATCTTGGCATATGTCACCATACAGGTGTGCTGGAGTATGGGAAGAACCCTTCTGAGTGGGATGTGTGAAACCAACCTGAGGATACACGGTCAGTGGCTTTCTGGAAGATGTCAAAATTAAACCAAAACTTGAGAAGTAGGAATGATCAAATGAAAATAAAGAGAGTGTTCTAGGCAGAAAGACCAGAACAAGCTCTTACATGGGGCTGTGCACACAGGCTGAGTGCAAAGAGCCAGCTAAAGACTTTAGATTTTATTTGAGGGCTATGAGGAACCATTGAAAGGATCAGGATTTTAAAAATGTATTTGCATTTTAGATTTAACTATCTGACATACATCAAAGAGGGAGACCAAAGACAGGGAGGTGGGGGACAGTAATTCAAGGAATAGATTAAACTGCCTGAACCGGGAGACTGGGCCAAGAGCCCAGACATACCCACATACATTCTCTCGTGTAGAACCATAAAGTCAGCTCTGCTAGTTCTCTTTGGCACAAAAGCCTGTGTCTCCAATACATATTTTAAGTTTAGTGACTTGATATATGAGTCAGAATGCCTGGGTTCAGGTCTTATCTCTTCTAATAAGTAGCTGAGTGACCTTGAGCTGGTCATTCCCCTCTCTGGGCCTGAATTTCCATACGTATGCAATAAAGGCAAGGGGATTTGTCAAAGATACAAAGAGCACATCTGTCCATGATATTTTCGCAGTTTATGTAGAAACCAATTATCTAGGCTAGATGGGTTGCCCAGTTCCACTGAACCCCCTCTGGGGCTGTCACCTCCCTGGTAATGTCTCAAGCCCTATGATTTGTGGTGATTGACCACTTGGCCTTGGGTTCCTGAGAACATAAGGAAGCCTAAGGCAAATTAGGTGTAACCGCCATATGGACCTCACTCTTAGAGGTTCATAATACTGGCTGCAAACCAGAATTGCCTGAGGAAGACCACCAATGTCCACGTCTTCCTTCAGACCCCACCACCCTTCAGCCAGAGCTAGGATCCAGTGATCAGTCGTGTGCCAGCTCTCTAGGTGATTACAATGCACCATCAAGGTGAAAGACACTGGTCTAGAAAGCTGCATGGAGTCCCCTGGGTGTGTCCTGCTTGCCCCTACATTGTCTCACCTGCTCGGCTTGTCTCTGGTCTCACCTGGTGCCCATAGAGGAATGTGGTCAACCTTCAGCCCTCCCTGCTTCTGGAACATAGCCACATTAAGGTCAAGGGTCTTCTTCATGCAATATTGAACTATAGAATCTTCCCTCCTCTGCCACCAACCTCCCCAGCCCAGAATCCCCTACTGTCCCCAGCTACAAAACAAAAATCCTAAGCCTACCAACAAGTGCCAACCAATGTTGGCTGGAGAACTGAAGGGTATCAGGTCTGAGGAATATACCGGGAAGAAGAAAGAGGGGACTGTAGGGCGGAAGGAAAGAGAAGAAGTATATTAGCCCCAGTCAAGCCCAGGAGTTCTGTCATTGTAATGAGTGGAGCAAGCTCAGTAGGGCGACCAGAAGGTTGTTACAGCTCCATTAACACTATTTAAGGCAACAAGGAACAGCTGTGAGGAATACGATGCAGCCTAATGAAGAGCAAACATTTGTTCGTTTCCAGCTCTGAGTGGAAATGCCATGTTCATGGCTTTGTGGAGCGAGGCCAGGCTGCCATCTTTCTCTTTTGTGGGTGGTGGGCGGGGAGCAGCCTCCTCATGGGGCATCACCATGGAGATGGATGCTTCGGGGACCTGCTCCTCTTTGACTGTCAGAGTCACCGACCAGTGAAGTCCTGGCTCACTCCTCAGTCTGCAGATGGGAAGTTTCTGGAAAGGGGCTGGAAAGCAGTGGCAGATGCCCACGTGATGAAAGGGAGGCCAGAGCTCATTCTCAACTCTGGGAATGCAACAGGAGCCTGGGACTCTACTCACTTCACCCCACCCCTCTAGTTTGAAATAGGAAGAAATTGGCCCATGTCCAGGGTTCGGCCAAACGTCATCAGTAACCCATGTGGTTTCAGACTTGCAGTTGTCCATGCAGGAACGGGCTCATGTACGGGAGACAATCCAGGCCTTTCCTTTTAGCTCATTTTTACTTTTCTACTTCCCATTCTTTTTGGAAACCAGCAAGCAATACG